GCTGATACTGTGGCTGCTGCCTCCATCAGAGCCCCGCAATGCTCAGCCCCTGGAGAACGGGGGAATGATGGGGATGCCAGGCTCATCAGCACAAGCTTCTGTCCTGGTGGCATTTGTGCTGGATTGAATCCCTCGAGACCATCCGTGTGCAGAAATAACACCTGTCTGAAGGTTTAGCTTCTGTATTTGGTGTTACTGGATGTGTTGTGCTTCAAGGCTGGGTCTCTTGCTTGCTTTGGATCTCAAGACACCAACCCAACCCTGCTCCTGACTGAGCAAATCCTTCTATTGTTTCAAGGACAGCAGAAGGAGACTGCCCAGATCAGTTCAGCACGCTGGGCCAGGTCCCTCATTCAGGCTATTAAAGCTCCTGGATGGCTTTCCTGTTCCTCCTATTGAATGTTCAGAGCAGTAGCAGCTTGTTTTATATTCACAAGCACTAAAATATTACAAACAACTCTCCAGTCTAGTCTGAGGGAACAAGCATTCATCAGCATGAAAATCACTTCTTTCCTGAAGGATGCCCAGCAATGGTTCAGGCCAATCTCTAATTTATTAAATCAAATCTGCAGATTCTTGCCTATGTTCCTTTTCCACATCACTTCAATGCCTCCAGATTTTCCTAGCTGTGCTTTGATAAATCCTTCCCGGTGGCTGAGCAGGTCCAGCTTTTAGAAGGAGTTTGCTCAGCTGAAGCTCGTATGAATCAGCCTGCAAAGTCTTGTCGGACCTTTTGCCCATTTTGGTGCCTCTGTCAGCACTGCAGAACTCCCCAGGCACTGCAGTCTGCAGTGAGAAGCTGCTTCTGGGAGGCAGAAAGACAGCCACGCTGCCTTTGAACTCTGCCCAGATGAAGTTGCTGTTTGGCTGGTGTTTGTCCTCCTGTTCCTGAGTGATTTTGCAGGTCCAGAGAGCTTCAAGCACTCCTCCACGTGGCTTCTTTGCTTTTGGTTATCCTTTCCTCCCACCCATGCCAATATCTATGAAGATTTGAAAGGAACTGTCAACTAGAAACCAGGCACACCATCGTGCTGTCTGCCAGAACCTTCTTTTTGGATGGATCCCAAGTGCCTGCCCTGCAAACACGTCCCTTTCACTCAGGTGAAGGTCCCAAGCCAATAATGCATTCAACTCCCTTAACTAAGCTTATCAGTGAGTTATCACCAGCTCCATTCCATCCTCTGGCTGTAGACATCTGCCTGTCATCCAGCTTCTCCCCTGCCTGCTTGGTCAGGAGATCCTTCTTGTTGCTGTTATCTCCTTTTCATCACAGCCCACCCTCTTTCTTCCCTGCCTTGGATCCCCACTTCTCATTTTTTCCTTCACTGACATCTCATGCTCCCTTCTGTGCTCAGCCCAAGTCCTCCAGCCTGGCCTGGGACCATTACAGCATTCCTAGATCCTAGACCTCTCAGATCCCCAAATCCAACCCCACCCACACCATGCCCACATCCCTCAGTGCCACATCCCCATAGTTCTTGACCACCTCCAGGGATGGTAACTCCCCATCTTCTTGGGCAGCTGTGCCAGCGCCTCACTGCTCTTTCTGTGAAGAAATTGTTCTCAATATCCAACCTGAAACCAACCTGAAATCCAATCCCTTACACTCTTTTCAACCCTACTTGGCAGCCAAGTAGGGGATCTGGTGCATCGACCTTGCCAGAGCTGGTTACCCTCCACTATACAATGCCTCGGGAGGGATCTGGGATATAGATTACTGGGATGAGAGATAATGGCTTTATGTTGTGCCAAAAGAGGTTCCCAGTTTGACGAGCAGGTTGCTTGCCTCGGGGAAGCTGAGTACAGCATCCACCTTTCAGTACTTGGGGTTGAGGAGCCATCTAGGGACTAGGAAAGATGTAACCAGCCATAGCACAGCTTGGACATCAGCGTGAAGGAGATGAATAAGGATAGGAGCTGTGCTGGAGCCTGGAAACAACCCATCATGGAGAGGGTGGTGAGGTGCTAGCACTGAGAAGCACTGGTGCCCAGTTCCTGGAGATGCTCAAAGCCAGGCTGGATGGGGGCCTGGGCAACCTGATTTCGTGCCTTTAAGTGGTTGGCAACCCTGCCCACAGCAGGGGATTGGATCTGCACGGATGATAGTTGAGGTGTCCCATCCAACCCAAGCCATTCTGTGACTCTACAGAGCTGTTTTAAGGCAGTAATATCGAACCTCCAGCAAACAACATTTTTGTTTTTGCTTTGCCCATTGTAGGAAGGGGAAGCTGCCTCACCTCTCATCGTTTGGTCCACGCAGCGGGTTCTGCCCTCCCATGCCAAACATGCTGATGTGATCTCTAATGAGCATGATGTCCCCCACCTGAAAGTTGGGGTTCAGCCCCCCGGCAGCGTTGGTGACAATCAAGATCTCCACCCCCAGGAGAAAGAAGACCCTAATGGGAAAGGTGACCTGCAGGAACCAAAGAGATGCATCCTGTGAGTGCCACAAGTCTCAGCTTGGGTGCTTGGTGTTCCAGCCACGTGGCCTTGGCATAGGTGGGATGAATCAGTAAACTGAGAAGATGCAAGAGTAGAAAGAAAGATGAGATAGATGAGATCACAGCGGACCAGCAGCGCGAACAAAGCTGAAGGAGGCATTACATAGCTGGTCAATTGTCCCTGTTCAATTAAATATAACAGCAGAAAAGGACATGTTGGCTGTGACCAAGAGCATTGGGAGCGCATGAAGGATGGGGAGGCAGGGCAGAGGGCTTGGAGCAGCCTGCAGTAGCCTTCCTGGGGAGAAGGGGAGACTGTAGGCAGCTCGTGCTATGCAGAGAGTGGCCTTTGGGAGCCTGCAAGCAGACAAGTCCACCTTTTTTTCCCCCTAATTTTAAATTTCTCCCTAATTTAAATAATTTCAACGTTTTTAAGCATATTAAAAAACTAATTTCATAAAGAATTCCATTAAAATTCAAGCCCACATTTATTACGGTTGCACTGAGGTTAAGTAAATGCAGCACAAACAGAACATGCAGACAATTTTTTCCTCTCTGCCAAGGTCTTGCAGAGATCAAACCGCTGTGCTGATTGGAGGGGCTGCTTATGCACACAGACCTGGAGTTTAATTGATACACGAGCTTCTTACAGCAATGATGCATTCTGCAGAAGCATAGAGATTGCTTTCTTAATTTCAGTTTATTGACATCAGATTGCCTCAGCAAAGTCTGAAGTTAAGGAATTGTTGGGAATGGGAAAAAACCAATCCATTTTGAGGAGTGAGGAAGGAACTAGGATGGCAGAAGGTACTCCTACAATGCTGAACAACGTAAATAGTTGAATTTTCACATACGTGAGCTGGGAGAGTACATCAACTTATTCCAGCCAATGGAAAAAAAACCCTAAGCTATACAAATGCGCAAGAAGATTAAAATAGATTATTTCCATCACTCATAGTTTCGTGGTTGCAGATTCAAACCATGATTAAAATGACTGAGCCAAACCATGAAAATAATCTGCCTTGTACGATGTATGATCCTGCCCTAGGAGCGTGGCACAGCTATCCGGCTAACTGCCTTTCCCTCTGAATTCCTCATGTTATCTCATTTTAGGAGGGGGGAGAAAGCCATTTTATGCTCATTGCCAGAGCCATCCTCCCACGGCTCGGTACCGAAGCACACATTAGTTTCATCTCATGCTAAAGACCTTTTTGGTGTGTGAATGATCCTCAGGACTCACCGTGCTGATGGAGTATCCCTCGTAGAAGTGGAAGCGCCCCTGCATGCACACACACGGCCGCCCGTTCAGCTCCCCAAACACCAGCCTGCCCTCGTGCCCTGACACTGGAAGGGAACAGCAGCATCACCTGGGGCTCGTTATTCTAAAGGGATTTCTCAGCTGGCTGCATAGCACACCTGAAATGGGAATTTCTGCTCACCGTCAGGTGGGCCGAGAACACAGCGTTCCTCAATGGACCCTGAAGGGTCACGAGATGTTAAGAACAAGCAGCCAGAGATGAATTTGCTCTGACAGCCTGCAGGGGAACATCAGTTCAGAATGTTACAATTTCTTGAGTTTCTTTCTGCCTAAGAAGGCTTTTCTTTCGTTTATAGAATCATCTAGGTTGGAAAAGGCCATCGAGATCACCATCCACTGACCTAACCATCCCAACCATCCATTGACCTAATCCCCAACGCTAAATTGTATCCCTTAGTGGTACAAACACACCTCAGAGATGGGGAATCTCCGCTCCAATGCTGAACCACAATTTCTCCCCAATGTCCTAAACCTCACCTGGTACAGCTTCAGGGAATTCATGATGAATTCAAACTTACTGAGACACGGAGGCCCTGGAGTGTGTCCAGAGAAGGGAACGGAGCTGTGAGGGGTCTGAGCACTGTGGGAGCAGCTGAGGGGATGGGGTGGGTCAGTTTGGAGAAGAGGAGCTCAGCAGAGAGCTCATGGCTCTGCAGCCCATGACAGGAGGCTGTGGTGGGGGGGATGTCAGCCCCACAGAAACGGGGAGAGAGGTGGTGGCCTCACGTTGAGGGTCAGGTTGGGTATTGGGAACAACTTCTCCCCAAGAGCAGTGATGCAGTGGCACAGCTGCCCAGGGATGGGGGGAGTCGCCATCCCTGAGGTGTCCCAGAGCTGTGGGGATGTGGCACTGAGGGACGTGGGCAGTGGGCATGGGCTGGGGATCTGAGAGGCCTTTCCAACCTTCATGACTCTACGATGAAATTGAACTCTTCCTTGGCAATAGCACAGTTGTTAGGTTACAGCTACCACAGGATAGCACAGTTAGGGTTGAAACGCAGCCCTGTGAATGCACATTTCACCTCTAAAGGACCCTGTGCCCAAAGCCAAGAGGTGTGGTGGATGAGGGTTGGAGTTACCCATATGTCAGAGTTATCTCCATTGCTGCTGTGCTGACCTGTGCTCCGTGGGAAGTGAGGGATATCCTCATAGGGAAAGACCATCTTGTGCTCCAGCATATCTGCCAGGTCTCCCAGCCCGGATCCGCAGATGATGGCAATCTTTGGGCACTGAGCAGTGCGGGCACGCAACCAGTCTGCTGTTTCCTTGTACACCTCGTAGCTATTTCTGCAGGAGGAAAAGAGGTCAGTGAACCTGTAACCCCATCCAAAGAATAAACTTCAAGAGATAAGAGTCCTGAAAGAGGCACAGAGGGGAAAAAAAAAAAGATTTATTAAGACTAAAACGGTAGGAACTTCACTGCTATTACAGAAGATGTTTCTCTATAGCAATCACTTTTAATCTCATTTTACCCTTGGCCACAGGCAAGTTATTTGAATCCTCTCTGCCAGACTTATTTTATAGTGGGAACTGGCTAATGATACCTATATCACCCAGATGTCACAAGGCATAACAGTTCATGCTTCTGATGTGCATGAGTCTTTCCCCAGTTCGTGGAGGAATGGAAAAGCACAGTTTAGCCTGGAAAAAACTGCAACCTGCATGTGTACGTGAGGACATCCAACCTGGGTTGGGGAAGTACAGGGGAGAAAGGCGCAGGGGCGAGCGGCATCAACAGAGATGGGGAACCAGCTTCACAAGTGTGGAGTGCCATCAGCTCCCAGGTCTTCCTTCCAGAACCAGGAACACCTCGTGGATTCAGTAAGGATGCTAAATGGGGATGCCTTGTTCTTCTTCTCCTCCCCCATGTGGTGGGCAGTGGGTTACACTCACAGTCTAGTCCTGGGCAAAGAGGTACAACAACATGTCTATACGAAAACAGAAATTAAACCCACAAATTTTGCTTCATTTTCTGCTTTAGTTCTGTTTCTGTCATTTTGCCAAAAATAGATCTTATCCAATGCTGGTGTTACTTCGCCTGCTTTGAACTTGTCTTTGCAGAAGAGACACAACCTCAATATTCAGGTCTGACAGCCCAGTATTCTTCAAACACTGGAATCACAGTTCTGAAACTCAATCGATAGAAGAATCCCATAATCCTTCTTCCGACAGGACAACAAAGATACTTTCTGAAAGTCAATATCAAGGTTGATTGGAGAGGCTCTTCAAACCAATAGCATTTCCTGAGAGCTGTTTGGCTATTGCCAGCAATGAGTGGCAATGGTGGCCATACACACGGGAGGACCTGGAGTGAACCAACACGGCCACGGGCAGCAGGCTGTGCACATGGAAGGCTGCTCTGCCAAGCGAGAGGTAACAAGGATCAGAAACAGCCCAGCGTGGTACAACTTTGTGACCCCACGGGAAGAAAGAACTCCTGCAGCCCTGAATTCGAGTGCAGCCACTCAGCTGAGGTGCTTCTCAAAGGAGGACTCTGGAAACAAGACAGACTTCATTTACCATAACATGCTGAATTTTCCAAGTGCACCTTAAGCTGTTGAAATAAGCAGAAGGTTTGAAAATGATGTTACTGGAGCCTTACGCTTGACTGAGTGGCATTATTATCCCTTGCCCAACAATAGCTGTCCCAGGCAAAAATTAAGAGTGCTTTGCATATACCAAAGAAAAAAAAAAGTCCCCCAAATATTCCCCTGTTGGATAACTGTAACACTTAGCTAGCAAAACTGCTGAATAATTGAAAGCCTTATTTAGAGGGAACAAAGAGAACGTAAACACAATACCCAAATGGATGATGTACCTGTGGCAGGCATAAGAAAAATAATGAGGTCACCAGCATCTGCTCTTTCACTGCACAGCCAGTCCCTCATCTCTGTTTTTGCCTTTTTTTTTTTTTGGAAAAATAGCATTAAAATTTAGACACTACCCCTAAAGCTCCAGAAATTTGGGGATGGAATGAATCCAATTCATTGACAGCTGAAGACAATGGGATTGACTGAACCACAGAGAGTTGCAGAGGGACTTTTCCTTTCCAAGCAGAACGTTAGAACATTTCCTATCCAAATGTGCTGAAGATGCAGAGCACCACGGTGCCCAAATTCATTTGCTGTGCCCACTGCAAGCTTCTATAGAGTCCCCCATCAGTGTGACCCAGCAAATGCAGCCCGCACCCTGGATGCGCACGAGGTCTGTGCAAACTCCTTGACAGCCTGAATTAGCACAGAGCACCAAGCCCCCTGTAGCTATTCCTTCTCACACAATGCCTGCCTAATAATAGTGCTCGGTAGCATCGCTTTGGATTAAATCACAGGATCAGCTGAAAGCACAATCCCCTTCATTGTGAGGGCTGTCATCCGCTGGAGGAACACATCTGCTGCAGAGTGCAGGACTGCCATTGATGACATCTTTTGTGGCATGAAAAAAGGTCCTCGTTCTACTTCTGGCTTGGCTGAAAGCAAATCCACATAAAACGCAGGCATCTCACAACAAATAGATGGATTATATTTCAGAGGGGGTCACACACGTGTGTGCGGTGTACACCCATCTCCTGGTCCACAGCCTCTCCAAGGTCAGCTGCTCGCCGCTGTATTTCAGAACAGCAGCACCTGATGTGGGCAGATGGCCAGACCCCTTCTCAGTAATGAAACATTTACTCCTGAGCAGCCTCAGCCTGACATTTATTGAGTACCCAGCAAGGAGAAGAAAACACAGCAATGCGTTTCTCCATTCCCTTCCATCTCTGACGTCGGTGTATTCCCTATTGCAAGCACCTTACCTGTCCTCTTCTGCATAGGCCATCCTCCTCCTGCTCAGCCCAAGAAGGGGACAGCTGCTGGAAGTGAAGCCACAGCTTTTTTGGCCAGCTCAGGAGCAGATCCCAAGAGCAGGTAGGTGCCCACAGAGCTGCCGCCGGCCCCAGCTGGGCTCTGCTGTTCCTAATCCCTGGAGAGCAGGGGCACGTAGGGACAGCAGCTTTTCTGGTCTCACTCCACGACAAGCCAGCTCCAGAGCTCGGCGGAAAGCCCCACGCATGCTTTTCTCATGCAGATGGAGCCTATGGAAAGTTCACGTGTGACTTTTCAGCAACCTCCCAGAGCAGCTGACAGCGAAGCTGCAGCAACGCACACGCGCTTTGCATCAACCTGCAGAGTCTGCAGGTCAACCCGTGCCACCCAGCACTGCAACGAGATGCTTCCACAACTCACGTTATCTTCCCGTTCATTCATGCTTGTCCTGCTAGCTCCCTGCAGTTCTCTGTTCATTCAATTGCTCCACTCACCTCAAAAGGAAATATAACCTCAAGTCGCAGCATCACAGAGATGGAGGGATTGGAAGGGATCATCCAGTCCAACCCCCCCATTCTAAACCTGAATGATTACATGAAGGGAGGCATGGGAAATAAAACAGAGCCTCACCAACATACCCACCTATACTCCTCTTCACCTTTGTAATTTCCAAAGACGTGCCCAAGACAACCAAGAGCCAAAAAACCACAAGATGTTGGTGATAAATAGAGATGGTACATCCAGAAAGGCCACATGGGACTAAGGTTTATAAATATTCCAAGTAAGGAGAAAGCCTTGATCAGAACTTGCAAACTCCAAGGCAAATTGGCCTGACGTGAAAAAAAAAAAAAAGTGGAAAATCGAGCTAAACAAGTTCCAGATCTCACAGAATTTTGCAGCGCTTCCATCCACCTTCCCTTGTTGGCCTCAAAGACCACACATCAAATGCATCACTTTCCCAGTAAACATGCTGATAAAGATGGCTTTTCCCCACACAAAACCCAGCAGGCTGAGAGCAGAGATGGCTTTAGGCAGCACTGCACCAGAGGGGCCCCGAACCACTCAGAATGCTGAGCTCACGTGCCCTGCTCACTGCCACCTGCCTGAAGTCCTGGGGCCACCTTCCTCTGCCCCTTGTGCCCCCTCCAGCCCACGCTCCTCTCACTGGCACTCAGCACATCCCTGAAGGCCATTACCTCTTTCTACTAAACTAACAAGCAGAGCAAAGCTGGGCCCTTAGCATTCATTTTCCATACAGCTCTTCAGTCTCAGAGTTCCGATGCCCCCCAGATACGTTCCCTTGTTCAGCCTTAATCTGATTACATTCATTAATCTGATCTTTTTGCAAAGCAGACAGGAGATCAGACAGCCCAAGAGCTTTTCCCAGTTTGTTCTTGTCTAGGACAATCTCTTCCCTAGTTCAGATTTACACAGAAAACAGGATTACCAGACAGGACCATTTTATCTGTGTTTCTGCAGCATTTAACAAAAATTACTGAGGTTTACGTTGCAATGGTGCACGGACCGGACAACGACAAGGTAAAGGCTCACCCTACTAGAAAGAATTAATTTCAGCATTGAGGGCATTAATTCCAGTGACACTCCAGAGAGGAAAAAAATCTAATTAAACTTCTGCTCCTATACAAATACGCCAAAGAAGATTCATCTAAAGTTAGTGAATAGCTTGCATAATTCTTAAGAAAGAGTATTTAAAGTCTTGCCTTCTGAATCTCAGCCCTCTGTGTGTGTGTGTCTGCAGAAAATTATATCTACAATCCAGATCTGATTGACTTTGGTGCCATTCAAGCCTCGTTTCTGCAGGCAGAGCTTCCACAGCTCCGGGATGCAGATACAATCACCTGAAACAGCTTCCTAACAACGCCGTGCCTTCCTGCAGCAAATTTCTACCTAAAGAAGTGTCGTGAAGTGTTTTTGCAAGCGTTTCATCAAAACATTTAATTAATGCTTTAGGGTACGTCTCCCACTTCCCTGCACTATCGCAGCATCGCCTTATCACACAGTCTCCTCACGTGTGCTGGGGAAGGCTGCACAGCCGGCAAGCTCAGCTCAAGAATTAGTAAGCGTACTCCGAGAACTAACCAGGACTTCCACAGTAATTTGTCAACTCATTGCTTAGGAAACTCATTTGTTTGTATGCTTGGCTATCCCAGACAGCCAGAAGGAAGGTAAACACAAGCAAATTATTTATCAGGAAACTTATTCCCCTCGAGGTGGCTTTAATATCTCGGAAGATCCAAAACAGTGCATGCGCTCCTACCATATACCTATAGGAAGGAGACTACAGAGACTCATAACAGGAAAGGGGTGGCCAGGGGAACAGGATACCAGGAGCTAACAGAGCTCATCGCAGTTAGCTGAGCAAAACACAAACTGAGCAATGCCCTGATGGCAGTCTGAGAATGTTACCATGGAGGCAGGGGAGAGAAACTTCAGACAGGCACCAGAGCACAGGGGAGACATGCGTGCAATTGAGCTAGGCACTAGGGAAAAAAAAAAAAAGAAGCCTCTAGCTACCCGAAGCATGAGGCTCCAAGCAGCCCCACTGCAAGTGCACTGGGGGTAGAGACAGAATCGTTAAGGTTGGAAGAGACCATTAAAATCATCTAGTCTAACTGTCAACACATGTCACTGTGCACACTAAGCCACGTCCCTCAGGTAGGGTCATGTAAAGGGTTGCACAAGGAGCAAGGCAGGCACACCGTTCATAAACGATGCTAGCTCTAAAAAGTCACCTCTTCTTCGTTTTGGAATTTAATGACATTTAGAGCACGTCCAAATCTGTGATTAAAGTTCTTATCCTGGCATCACAGTCAGCTGTTGGCTCTGGGCATGCTTCTCCCCATTAAGGAAGTTACTCCTTCATGGGCAAAACAAGGACAATTTTACTTACATCGTAACAGCAGTCTGACCACAGCTCCTTTGGCAAAGGAAGCAAAATGCAAACCTGCCTGACTTCACACTGCAAATCAGAAGCAGAACCTTTATAGACCCACCACCACACAGAATCACAGAATCACCCGGGTTGGAAGGGACCTCAAGGATCATGTAGTTCCAACCCCCCTGCCCAGCAGGGCCACCAAACACACACATTTAGATCAGGTTGCCCAGGACCCCGTCCAACCTGGCCTTGAACACGTCCAAGGACGGGGCATCCACAACCTCCCTGGGCAGCCCGTTCCAGGGCCTAACCACTCTCCTTGTAAAGAACTTCCCCCTAACATCCAACCTAAATCTTCCCTCCTTCAACTTGGATCCATTTCCCCTAGTCCTGCTGTTGTCAGCCCTTTTGAAGAGTTTACTCCCCTCGTGGGTGTAGGTTCCCTTCAGGTATTGATAGGCTGCAATGAGGTCACCCCGCAGCCTTCTCTTCTCCAGGCTGAACAAGCCCAACTCCCTCAGCCTGTCCTCATAGGGGAGATGCTCCAGCCCCCTGATCATCTCAGTCGCCCTCCTCTGGACCCTTTCCAAAATCTCTATGTCTTTCTTGTACTGAGGGCTCCACACCTGGACACCACCAATATCATAAGAAAGCACTGTGTTAAGGACAACCAGCCTTCTCAGCTAGCATGCACATGGTTCCAGGCAGATCAGCACCATGAGCCTTCTGTCCCATCTGGGTGGCTGCTTCCACTCAGCAGTGACTTTGGTATCATCACCCAGCAGAGTTGCCATGGCTACCACCAGTGCCAAAGTCACAGCTGAGCACATCCAAAGCCCCCATTGTGGCTGCACTTCTGCAGAAGAGATAAAGGCCATCATTTACCAGCCTCCAAGAAAGCCACGCTGCCTCCCCAGACGGTGAGCACCTTGTATCCTCACATATGAAGTGACAGCAGAACACCTTGATCCACAAATACACCGGTCTGGCCTGGTAGCTCTGCAGATGTGGGGCTGAACCAGAAGAAAAGTCCTGCATTCCCATGTGGAGTTTCCCACAAAAGACGACTTCGAGTAGTAAAAGTACCTACTCGAATTACTGCCTTCACTTAAAGGAATATAATGGTACATACAAAAAGAATTAAGACTGAGTTCACAGTAAAGCTGAGTTTGCAGTGAGTTGTATTGCTCACAGCAGAGCTAACAGTTCAGTTACAGTCAGAAAAAAACCAACATGTTTTTCTTATTTAAGCTATATTTTCTAATTTATGCTATTCACCTGTACTGATAATATGCTATTCATATACTGATTATGATCCTGATAACACTGTATACTTGGTCCCTTCCCTGTACTTTGGGAAATTCCCCTCAGTCCAAGAGATTGTGGTACAGATGTGTTACAAGCACCAATAGCCCAGCAAACCAGGGCAGAAAAGGGAGAAGCTCCCCTTCCACACCATTTCCCCTCATGCACAGAATTGTACTCATTCTCTTTCTGGTATTTTTAAAACACTCACAAATCAATACTGTGTGGAAAAAAAAAAATTAAACATCTGAAGTAACATCAACTCAAAGAAACAAGTGATTTAAGTAACTTACTCTACACTAAAGCACTACAACTCTAGCATAAGGGAATAGCAAAAGGAATATCAGAATATTACAGATTACCACACTCACATCAGAGAAAAAGCAAGAGTAAAAACATATCCGTAGATCTTAATTTAAAATGCAAAGAAGAAAGAAAAAAAAAACAACAAAAAAAAAAGCACTTGAAGCTATAGCAAGCCTGCCACATTCTCCATAGAACTAAGCTCTCACAAATTAAGGGAAGCAGAAAAATTTAAGCATTATTGGTAGCCGGAGTATTCTCTACACAGCAAAACTTAAACAACTACAACAAGCCTTAAAGACCCAACAGCACCCCTCCCCTAGCACTGCTCTGCTCTGCTCTGCTTCCACCCACTACTATTTTCCCCTTTCTAAGTACCCAGATATGTTGGAGGGTGATTTTCAGCCAGTCACAGGGAGAAGAGGCACTGCACCTGTGCACATAAACCTTCCATCCACAGCTGATGCTCCTTGTTACATAAAGACCCTTCTCAAAAGGTAGAAAATAGCATATTTTTGTTACGTGGCATTTACTACAGTGGTTTTATCTTCATGTATTAACTCCATCTGAAGAATGAATTCCTTTGTTTCCAAGGACTTAAAAGAGTGAAAAATTAAGCTGTGTGTTTGTGCTTATGAGTGGTATGTATATTTTTAATACATACACTTCATTTTTCAGCAGTGTTCCTTCACTTTAGAAACCAGCAAGCTCTTAAGGAAGGAGGGAGGTTACGTATTTCATTCTGACTTTAACTTGTCATTTCTCTGATTGCAGTGCTTTGAGTATATCATTTCTCTTTCAGTATATCATTAACCCACATATTACAGATATATCCCTAACAAAAATGTGTTACTTATTTATTGACTGGTTACTTTGCTCCTAGGAAAACTTCCTGTGGTTACACAAGCTTTAGAATCCTTTGTACTCATAGCACAGTCTTTCTGTGCTAAAGCATATTCTGGACTAGGGGTGGATCCCACTTTATCAATGAGAAATACGTGAAAGCCGAGCAAACTTAACAGCAAAGTGAATTTCTGCTAACTCATGCTATGCCACTGTCTCTTTGACCCCCAAACAAACAATAAGTGCTGTTCTCTCTGACCTGTGTGTAGCAAAGCCTCCCACTGTCTAAAACACTGGGAGCAGCACTCAGCACCTGAGCTGCGTAACTTTGATAAATGCTTATTAACTCCTCCTATAACGAGAAACTCTTTGGGGCTGTGTTACAGCAGGGAGGTGGCTCTTCCCTTGAAGAGACGCGAGTGGGGCTTTCTGCCCGAAGGCGTGCAGCTGCTCCCCGTGCCCAGCTCTCCCTCCCGATCCTCGCTAAGGATCAAGCAGAGAGAGAAAGGGGAGCGGCTCGGCTCGGCTGCGGGGCCGGGCGCTGGAGCGAGAGGGGCGGTGCGGTGCTCGCAGCCCGCCCCGCCGCCGGGCCTGCCTTCCCGCTGCGCCGCCGGGGTAAGAGCGGGGCCTGCAGTAGGCCGCGCGGAAGCCGCGGCCTCGCGTAGAGGGCTGCCAGCGAGGGGTGTCACCTCCACGGTGGGCGCCTCTACGTGAGGCCGGGGATGGGCGGGATGCGGCTAGGCCGCGCCGTGCGGGGGGAGGCGGACCGTGAGCGGGCGGGGAGGGGAGAGCTGGTGTTCAGTGTTGGGATGTGGCTGCCTGGGAAAGGGAGGCTGCCCAAACGAGAAGCAGCTGGATGCTGTCGATGGGATGGGTGGCTTAGTGGCCTTCCTGGCCCTGCCCTGAGTGAGGGCTGTGAGCAGGGAGAGCCCTGAGCTCTGCAACAGGCTGGAACCAAGGCCAAGCCAGCTCAGGTAATGCAGACTGGCAGCCTAGGGCCTTGCCAAGCCTGAGTTGGGATTTGAAGGTTTGAGCCTTAATTAAAAGGTTGTGACAACATTTGTGGTATAAGTGAGATGAAACTAGTTTAGGATGCAGTGCCTGCCTATACTGAGGTCTGTGAAGCCTTCAAACTAGAAGGGGTGAGATTTAAACTGGATACAAGCAAAAAGCTTTTTACAGTAAAAACAGTGAACCACTGGCATAGCTTGCCCTGAGTGGTGGTGGTGCCCAGTCCCTGCAGGTACCCAGGGTTGGGCTGAATGGCACTCTGAGCACCTGGTGGAGCTGTAGGTGCCCCTCTTCATTGCAGGGAGTGGGAGCAGATGGCCTTTAAGAGTGACTTCCAACTCAAACAATTCTATTCATTGTACTTTTTCTCCCCGGAGTGCAGTGAGATAAAGGGTGCTGCTGAAGGTAAAACAAATCTTCATGAGCAAAAGTGAAACTAGGTGTGGTTTATGCTTATTGAAAGGCAACCAAGGTGGGGAAATTCACTATGTACTGCCTGTAGCAAGCTGGTCACTGTGATATACAGCTGGGTTGACCTGGTTACTTTGGTGGAGAGAGTTTTAGCTCTTCTTTTTTCTGTTTGTCTCCTAAATTTCTTAGCCCTTTCGATTTTTTTTTTCCTAAATAAACTGTTTGGTGACTTTACCACAGTATTTTCTTTTATTTTGCTTCTGAGGTAATGATACGGATTTGAGGATGGCTAAAATTGTATGCTGAGGGATTTTCTGTCTCCTATATTAATGCTGATTAAATAATGTTACTTAAATGAGAGATCTTAGTTTTTGAGTAGACTGGCTGATTTCTGGTTTCTGAATCTAAATTCTCCTTTGCCTGCTTTGCGCTGTGTACTGGAACAGATGGGAGAAGACTTGCTAGCTTTGTGCCAGTGTGCTCGTGGAGTCTTCACCCATTTAGAGCACAACTTCGCACTGCTTTCCTCTTTAACATCAAGCACAAGTTAGGACTGACCGCAGTTGCAAGAAAATCTTTTCTCGCTTCAGATCTATCACCCTTTTTCCAGTAGGGAAAGCAAGCTGTAAGAACTTGCAGGAGTCTGGTCAAAATGATGCAGGGTTGTAACACAGAAAGCATGTTTTTGGTTGCAGGTTCAGCTACAGGGCTGTTCTCAGGAAGTGCCTGTGAGAAGCTCTGCAAACATCACATTTGTTTTAGAGGAGGGAAAATTAGCTGTGACCGGCTGGGAGAAAATGGAAGGAACAGCACTGCGCCATCTCTAAGGGTAGCTGCTGTTGTTTGGGTCTCCCAACTCTACGTGTTTGAAGCATACTTTGAGAACTTGCATAAAATATTGGTTTAATTAGATGAAAAAACTTGTGCCTGTATGGGAACTGTTGAGTCACGGCCTGAACTGCTGATTGAGCACCTGGGGAAAGGACCCAGTCAGCCCTGGGAGCACAGGTGAAGGCAGTTCAGCAGTGCAACTGGAAGGGTGGAGCCTGGCTGCACCTCTCTTAGACCCCATTTAAGGGTTAGTGCCACTGAGGAAGGATCTCCTTCTGGAGATCCCTCCTTGGTGAAGATTTACCCTGCGAACCTGGAATCTTCTGATACGGATAAGCAATCTTCCCTCCCTTTATAGCACTGTTCTATCGTGCTGATCCTTCTTCATTACATCTCTGGTGAAACACCTTTTCCCATCCTATTGGTCTGTCCAATTGCTACAGTGACCCATCTGGGTAATTTGTGTAGCTCTTGGCATGCTCTATTTTGAGCCTGAGGTCTAAACACTTAAATATAAACACCTCTGCAGTGAGTAGAATATTCAGAGTTCAGTGAAGAGCCAAAGCAGCAGCCAGCCCTTCTTTACTTCCTGTGTAAAGGGTGATGGAACTGATGAGCCATTTACGAATGGCCTTATTCAGTATAGCCCTTGTCTATTTTATTTTTCTCATTGATACATGGTTCTTTTGAAGCAATTTCCATTCCAGAATATGGAAGTGAAGCAAGAGTGTCCTTTAAAAAAACAAACAAACACAAAGCAGTAAAAAAAAAAATCTTTGTCTATTTATATGTGCTTATGATTGGAATTGTTTCTCTTTCTATCTTTCAGATTGTCAATCGGTCCAAGAATGAGCACATGCAAGAAGCCTTATGTTGACCAGACTACAAATCTTGGAAAGTTCGACCCTGAAATTCTTTCTGAAATTGAGAAGCTCTTTGCAAAGAAGTTTTCTTACACTAAGCCACTTAATAATGAATGGCAGCTCCCAGATCCCAGCGATGCCTTCACGTGTGACCACAAGGAATTCAACTCGCTTCTTGATCTGAAGAACTCGATGAATGAAGTGAAGAATCAGCTTAGTGATAAGAACCTCATTGAATGGCATCAGCACACTTCGTTTACCAATAAAGCAGGAAAAATAATTCCTCACGTGAAGAAATCTGTGAACGCTGAGCTCTGCACCCAGGCCTGGTGCAAGTTTCATGAGATGCTGTGCAGTTTTCCTCTTCTCCCTGCAGATGCTCTTCAGGAGGGACAGCTGAACTCTGTTCACCTCTGTGAAGCGCCGGGAGCTTTTATAGCCAGCCTCAATCACTACTTGAAATCCCACCACATCCACTGTGACTGGAATTGGGTGGCTAATACTCTAAACCCGTATCATGAAGCAAATGATACCCTTATGATGATTATGGACGACCGTCTTATAGCAAATACGCTGCCTTGGTGGTACTTTGGCCCGGACAACACCGGCGATGTGATGTCATTGAAACATCTGACAGGACTTCAGAACTTTGTAAGTAATATGGCCACAGTTCACTTAGTAACTGCTGATGGAAGTTTTGATTGCCAAGGAAATCCAGGTGAGCAGGAAGCCCTCGTCTCCCCCCTCCATTACTGTGAAACAGTCACTGCTCTAATGATCCTGGGCGCCGGAGGATCCTTTGTTTTGAAGATGTTTACCCTGTTTGAGCACTGTTCTACCAATCTTCTCTTTCTGCTAAACTGCTGCTTTGAGGAGGTCCACGTCTTTAAGCCAGCCACTAGCAAAGCTGGAAACTCAGAGGCCTATGTAATTTGTCTTCGTTACATGGGCAGAGAGAGCATTCATCTGCTGCTTTCTAAGATGATGCAGAACTTTGGGACGGATATGGTCAACAAAGCTCTTTTCCCCCAGCATCTGATCCCAGAATCTTTTCTTAAAATGCACGAGGAATGTTGCGTGTTCTTCCACAGGTGCCAGGTAGAGACTATCTGTGAAAACATCTATCTCTTTGAGCACATGGAAGAAGCAGAGCAGACAAAACTGAACAAGTTGAGAGATTGTGCAGTAGACTTCTTCATGCAAAGATTTTGTATGAAACCCATTGCTAGAAGTAACTGGCTTGTCAAGAAATCTCAGACTGGTTGCAGCATGAATGCAAAATGGTTTGGGCAAAGGAACAAATATTTTAGTACGTACAATGAAAGAAAAATGCTGGAAACCCTTACATGGAATGATAAAGTGGCAAAGGGCTATTTAAATCACGTGGCTGAAGAACACAGCTTAACTAATGCTGGTAAAATGTGCATTTTGGAAGGATTGTCTTCTAACCTTAAGTGTAACTTGTGGTACATTTTGGAAGGAAAGAGGCTACCAGCGGTAAAATGTTCACCATTTTGTGATGGCCAAGTCTTGGAAAATCTTAACGAAGCTATGAATGAACTGGTGGGGAGGCCAAAAACCAAACAGCTGCTGCAGCTTTGTCACTCCTGTGAGGTACTTCCTGGGGAGCAGATGTTGGCAGAAGTGTCTGATCTTTACCAGTCTTATCAGGAGATCCTGAATGGAAGACGTGGGGACAAATTCAAGTGCCTTGTGGTGGATTTCCCATCCCTTTATGATGCTAAAAGCCAGCCTGGTATGGAAATAAAGTGCCTAGACTCGGCCACGCTGCTGACTTTTAGCTTCTCTTTGCTTTATGATGGAGAACCAAAATACCAACAGCAGCTTTTGGAGTGTGTTCTGCATTCCCTGAATCAGCTTGCGATCGGAGATGCATTGATTCTGCCTATTCTTTCTTGTTTTACACGTTTCACAGCTGGCCTGGTGTTTGTACTGCATTGCTGTTTCAGGTGCATCACATTTGCTTGTCCGACGTCCCACGAGCCACTGAAGACCTGCACTGCTTTGCTGTGTGTTGGCTATCAGGGTGTCCCAAATCCAGTTACTGAGTACCTGCAACATCTGCATAAGCTAATGAGTTCTTTGCTAGACTCGGATTCTCCCAAGCAAGTTTTGCAGTTTGTGCCTATGGAGAGTCTCCTCCAGGGCAAACTGTTGGAGTTCTTGTGGGATTTGAACACAGCCATTGCAAAGAGACAGCTCCATTTGCTTGTGCAAGCTAAGCAGCAGCAAACGACTGGCAGTATTTCACTATAAAATAACCCTAAAATCGAGCAAGTTGCTGCTATGCCTTGTTTCTCAGGCAGGTAGAAGTTAAAAATGTTGATGTGAAGGAAACGTCAATGCCATGCCTAAGTTGTACAGTCTCGGTACTGGGAGGATGTTTTGAGCTATCAACCCTACTTGTGCTGTACTGGGCTGTAGAAACCCTTGGCTTAATCTCAGGTATGGGAAGTCAGGGCAGTGACTGAAGTGGACAAACTGTGTCTTCTGTCACCAGTTATCTGTTCAAATTTCCTCGTGTGCCACCTGGATCAGTGATGTGGCTTTCATGATGAAAGGTGGTGTGGTGCCTTACCTGTTTATTTTGGCCAGGCTGCGGTGGGCTCTGTTTTGTGATGTTATCTCTCTTCTGCTGAGCTAAATATGGGAGTTCTGACGCTGCTGCTCTTCTCATGGGATTTGTGGGAGCCAAAAATTGATGCTGGGGCCAGAATGCCCAGCAGTGTGCAAGCCTGGTGTGCAACTTGAGGGATCCTGGGAGCTGGCAACTCGTTTGCAGGGGCTGGGTTGAAAACAACTGCTTTTAAACAGTAGCAGAGGCATCCAGGGAAAGATTCTCTTTAAGTGTGAATGCAAGGACCGTGCTGTATGGCCTAGGGCAGGTGATTGCATGGCTTCATCTCCCTGTCCCATCAATGGATGGAGCATCTCAACTTTTTTATGGGCACCTCCTTAACCTGATTTGGGACTCCTTGATTGTAGTGCTATTAAGGAGGAACTGCAGATGTTTTTCAGGCAAACAGCGTGGTCAGTCAGGGCTCTGTGTTCCAAGAAATGCTTTGGAGGAGTGCTAAGCTGAAGAAATGTGATACTTTCCTTGGGTTAAGATTTCATTTGATTCTCCTTAGAGATAAAAATGATGAAATTGCTGCCTGGCTGCTCCTTTAAGGGAGTCAGATTTTATTTTTTGTATTGCTCCTTTGAGGGCTGAATTTTGAAGCCTAACCCGTACATTAACACTTAGTTTTAAGTTCGTAGTTTACATGGGAAAACTTGCTTGGAGGGAGAAATGATGTTTGGAAGGAAAAATGATTTACTGCAGATATGTGCAGGATCTCTTAGAAGAAAGTCAGAAATGTGGAGCCGGAAGGAAAATAGTCTCCTGATTAATTACCAGTCACCTTCTGGAAGCACTTCTAATTATGTAATATAGGAGCTTGAAGGATAATTGATTACTGCTAAGGATTAAAAGCGCTGCTGAAAAACTGTTTTGTCTGGAGGTGTTGCACATTTAATAAGCTTTTTTGCCACATTGATTGGGGTAGAATTTCATGTATTTAACAGTTCATTTTTTATTTAAGGATTTGATAGGTGAATGAGTCGGTGGCTCAGGTCTGATTAACTGATAGCATTTTCTAAAAGTCCTGTTTTTTACAGCTGCATGTAGGTAGAAGCAGAGAAGCCTTGCTAACAAAAGCTTCGGAGGTTGGTCATTGTCCCCATTTAAATGAGCTTGCTCTGCCATGAGCTGAGTCACGCTTCCTCCCTCGGACCGGGAGTCGGGATTTCTTTTGAAAAAGAAATACTGAAAATGAGAGGAAAAAAGCAGGGAAGGAATACTGTGGAAGAATGACTGACAAGACGGCTTCAGAGACCACCTGTAACAGGCTCCTTTACCTGAGTCAAAGCAGAATAAAGGTATTGTCCACCGAAGGCACCTTTGTGTCTCTGCTGCCATTTCAGAGGTGATTTATGCATCTGAAGCTTGCACTGAGCTGAAGCCTATGGAAAGGCTTCTCTTAAAGCAGGGGCAAATGAGATTTCGAGCGCACGGGTGTTCTTGCATTGTGGTATTCTGCTCTGGAGGCTCATGTAGCAGAAGCATCCCAACCAGCAGATGATTAATGTGAGGTTTTTCTCCGAACGTCAGTCTGATCCTTTTGAATTCTTATTGTAAAGTAAAATCCGAGCACCGCTCAGGATGTGTTTTTCAAACTCGGATTCTCAAGTTTTCCTTGGTCTGGTTTGCACATCTGGCAAACTATGCAGACTTCTTGGAGATTTCTCCAGTCCCACCTTTCCTCACGTGTTCTACAGTTAAATCAAGGAGGATGAGCACAGGATTAGTTCCCACGGTGACAGGATGTGTGCAAGGTGTTCCACTTCCCTTTCTTCCTTAGTTCTTAAGATGAAGCATTCTGAATAGCCGCAGAATGAGAAGCCAGATCCCTAAAACATAGGAAATCCAATGTCATATACATCCCGGTGCCCCATTTGCTCTGAGCCTGTTCTGTTAGCAGCTGTCAGGAGGGATGGAACAAATCCTTTGGCAGCAGCTGCTCCTTCTGTTAAGGAAAATATCTGATTTGGGAACTCTTCTTTTGTTGTGGCAGCAGTTTCAAAGTTAGGAATGAGGCTTGTCTCCTTAATTGTGAGAGTCCTGCATTGTCCTGGCTTTCTCTAGACCAAGAATGTCTTTGAGGAGTGACACTTAATTTCCCTTGTGACTTTTGGAATATGTAAGAATGCATTAACCTTTGCAGAGAGGGGCTGATGGCTCCAGCATTGGGCAGTGCTGTCAGTCCCTTTAGCTGATTGCGTTTTGGGTGATGGCTGATGAAGTGTCTCAGTGTCCTGGCTGCCTTTATGCTGGCCTCTCTTTTTTTTTTTTCCTTTGACCTGCTTGAAGATGAACTGGTTGTCAGCTCTCTTTTGTAGGAGCCTCGATCTTCATGCAGGGAAGATGGGGGGGGAAAACATAGATTGGTAGATAAATAGAACATAGATTCAATCACGGTGCGTGAAGACCCGAAGCAAAATTAGCTTTGCAGCTCTGCTACTGCAAGTTTCCAATGGAGGACCAATATCTGTGTCCAGTGATCAGCTGCAAGCTCCACTGTTTTCTTCTGAATGTCTGGAGCTTCTGTTTTAAGCTAGCATAGTAGTTGCATGGAGTTTGAATGGGTTGGATTCCTCACCAACCAAATGTGTTGGTTTTCCTTCTTAGTTGAGTTGCATTCAGACTTGCCACTTATTTTCACTGATCTTATGTGGATTTATTTGGATGTGCACAGATTGTGTGTGTTTTTGCCACTGGCTTTCCAATTTAATTTCTGCAGAACATAATGAGATTTATGGTATGAAATCCGGTAGCTTATTAAAATGGTACTAATTGGTGTCTATTCATCTTAATCTAAGCTGATCTATTAGATTACTGGTGGTCAAAGTAGAATATTTAGCAGAATTAGAGTTTATTAAAAGTACAACTTGAAATTTAACAAGAAGGGCTTTGTGTTCCTTATGTAGAAAGTGGGAAAAGGAAAGAAGAAACCCCACATCTTGATTTTGGGCCTCTGCAACTGGATGCTTTAGGATGCAATAAATGAAGGATGACCGGCAAGCTGAAGCCTCAGAGCCTTACATCTCCTGCTACTGTTCCTAAAACCCATCTTTTGACATCTGTTTAATTTAGAGATGATTTTCAGCTTGTTAATTCTTAATGGCGAAGCAGCGGAGATCCTACGTTCATTTATCTTACCGTTTTGGGTGGTGTGAAATACTTTTGTTTATCGGCTCTTGTTTAGAGCCTCCATCTCAGCTGCAGCCTTTGAATCTCTCTCTCTTATTTTTTTTTTTTTTTTTTTTTTTTTTTTTTTAGTGCTTTGAAGGCAGAGAGATTAAAATTTCCTCCCAGAAGCCTGGTAATGGTTTCTCCGTCTCGTTCTTGAAACCGTTTTCGTGAATGCCATACGGATATCCTCAGCTCCAGTTGTTTGTGTTGCATTCACCTGACAAAGATCAAGCGTGGCTGTTTATGCTGGCGATGCGTTCAGCCTGTGGCTGCTCATTTCTTGCTCCTCAGGGAACAATTTGGATCGTCGTTGAGCCCTCCTGCCCCACTTGCGGGGTCCAGAGCTGAATGCGAGTCTGAACAATGGAATTTGCTGAAAGAATTAGCTGGTGGCTGTAGGGACTTTAAACAAGCAGAACCTTTGTGAGACATTTAAATGCATTTTGGGCATTTTCCCACCAGCAAGGAGAGGCCTTTCCTGGCTCAAAATTCTGTTTTAAAGAAGCTCTGAGGTGTGAGCATCTGTGCAAATAGTTTGCCTGTTGCTTGTTGCCTTTCTTTTACACATGCAGTACGTTTGTGTATGGAAACCCCCATGAAGGTGGTACAGCAAGGAAGATTTTCCTTTTGTAACTTACCAGCGTGTGCTTTTGTTTTGAAGGGTGTGAATGTAAATATTGTTTTGATGTACATTATGGGATGTTGGTTTATGGGGCTGTTGTTGTATTTCCGTTTGGCCCACAGATGTGTGTTGCAAGAGCTTTTCTGAATGGATGGAAAACAAAATGTATGCAGAGAAAATAAACTATGTTCTGTTTTAGTTCTGTTGCTGCTCATTTCTCTACCCGAATGTAGAAGAAGACAACGAATTGCAGGAGGGAGACCCTGCCTTGTGGACCCATCATCGGTGAATGAAAGAGGCAGAGGCGTGCCGAGCGCGGTGCGTCTGCTGCTCACTTTCTCAGCTCTTTTCCTTTGCAGTTTACTGTTTCAAAGAGACATCAGTGACAGGAGAGGTGTGAGCAGTGTGTCGGAGCTCCTTGGTCTTGTTACCCATCTTGGCAGACAGGTGCTGTGCGTGGAGCCTGCTTGCACAGCGAGGGCTGTCCAAAGGATCTTCAGTTCCTGCTGGCTGTGACAGCCCCTATGGTAGGAAACCACACTGCAGTTTTGTCTGCAAAGTCTTTTATTAATCCTTATCCAAATGCTTTCATTCAAAGTGCTTGCTTTCAGTGAATGGTGTTATTAAACAAAGAGAAGCTGCGTGCCTTATTTCTCTGCTATACTGACATGGGTTCCGACTGCTTGTCTTCGGCCTGGCTATCAGGTTTGTCATGAGACTTTGTGCTAGCTGGTTCTGATTGCAGCTATGAATGCTGACATTTCTCACTGCCTCTTTACTTTGGAAGTGAAGGAGGACCCCAGGTTAGGGAGCTGGCCAGTATTGCAGCATATCCTAGAGACAGGAGATGATGTAAGAGGTATACTTCTCTGGTACCTTGATTTTCATATAGATGGCAGATATTGGGGGCAACCTTTAAACTAGAAATGCTGTTGAATGCCTGCTGATGTGGAGGCTGGCATTGTCTCACTTGATCTTAACTCTAGGCTGGAGTGTTGGCAGTGAACATCAAAATGTGCTTCAGGAGAAATGAATGAGTCCAGAAGTGAATGGTCGTTAAAATGGGGGCTGCGTTGGAGGAGCCTGTCTGAAGGACTGTGTCAAATTTGGTGGAAGTGTTGTTTAATGTGGCTATACTCAATTACAGGGAAATGTAAATGCCTCTAATTGTATTTAAGCTACTAAACAATTCTTTGAAATATTTACTTTTCACAATATTGCAGTATAAAAATATTGCTTGAAAACACATGAGATGGCAGATTAGAAACAGAAGGGAAAGCGTGGCTTTCCTTGTTTTGCTGTTAGAAACCTTAAAAACTGCATATGTCATTTCTTCAGTCTTTAAAGTCACTTTATACGCTACGTTATATTGATTGTAAATCTTATGTTAGTTGTGGTAGATCTTGTGCAAGCTTGCCTGCCAGCTCTTGAGTTTTAGGTGTTGTCAGAGCTGAGCTGAATTGCTGAACGCAGAGCAGAGGAGCATTCTCTTTTAGGCTGAGCAGAGAGATTGAGTGAATTCTTCCACTGTGTTCTATCCTGTTCTTGGTAAAGGAGGGGGGATGAAATTTTACCTGTAATACAGACCTATTTGAAGGCAACTACTGCACCATGCTTGGTGGTCTCTTTCAAAGGATGTTTTTCTTCTGTAGGAAACCTGGACGTGTTTATTTAAGTCATCTTCAGTGTTTTATTAAATGAAGATGACTGCTGCTTGTTAACGAATTGATTTATCTAAATTGAGGGGGAGCAGGGAGAAGTGCCTGTCACTTGTTGACAAATTGATTTACCTAAATTGGTGGGTGCTGGGGAGAAGCGAATCAATATTTGAAACTTATTTGTTGCTGAAGTCAGAGATCATTATCTGTACGGCTGAGAGATGTGGATGGATGAAGGCTGCCTGATACAAATGGAAGCTCGTGCTGCTGTACCCTGAGGTCCTAAGCTGTCAGGTACCTGTGCCTCAAAACAATGACCTGATGGCCAGGCAGTAATAAAACCTCAATTAGATGGAGGAACGAAGGGGCTGCGGTGGTGAAGTGTCTTAATTTAAGTCTCTAGAGGGTTAAGGTGATTAAATGCTTCTATATAATCAGTTGACTGCTCCAGGTTGGTGACAGTGTACTCTATAGCTGTTGAGTTGAAAAGTAATGAAGCCTATCTTAGGGTCACAATTAAACTTGGCTCTGAGGTGGCCTCCAATAATGATGCTCTTGGCAGAGGAGTGTGGGAGTGGGGCAGGAGCACAGTTGCTGCTGGGGACATCTGAATCACAGGAGCAGTGTGGGAAGCTGGGTTCCCTGCCTGCCTTCCCTACTGCAGCTGCACTGATGGAAGATCCCAACTACACCAGCCTGAGAAACGCACGGTGCAAGGTGAGCTCAGAGCCCTGCATGGAATAGGTCGTGCAGGGTGTTGGGAACCAGTCCCCCTGGGTTGGGATTCTTGCAAGACTCTTCACAGGTAGCAACGCTGCTGCTCAGCACTGGGGGCTTGCTGTCACACAGCTCTTACAGCTGGCACTGAATGCGTTGGCACAGGCTGGAAGGGATCTGGATTGGCTGATGCACAGAGTGTCAGAGGGCAGCTCGATCCCAGCCAGCTGGAAAGCTTGCCTAACCATCAGTGACAGCAAGCTCACACTTTCAGTGGAAGCTCTGGAGTAGCTGGGTGCTTAATAGCTGTCAGTACTGTAACCTTAACTGTAAATCACCAAGTAATTGATTTCGGAGTGTTAATGCAATGTAGATTTACGGAGAAGTACAATTGTGCCTAAGATGCACAGTTAATAGCACTGGCACTGAACAAACCCTAAATTGGCTCTGTGCTTCCGTTATGAAACAGGGTAGCATAAGCCCATAAACTTCTGTAGATTGCTTTGCTCTTAATTACAAGACCAGCTTTACCAAAGTGAACGAGCTCGCATACTTAAATGCAGGTTTTGAATTTGGAAACCTGCTCAGAGCTCTGGCTGTTGTCCAGCTTTTGTTCCTTCACCTCCTGCAGGGAGTGAGAGAGACCCCAGGCTGATGAGATATTTGATCTGATCCAAGTTCTGTGGGGACTCTGCACAGGAAGAGGATTAGATCTAAGAGTGAAGTTTGTTCTGGCCAGTGTATCCGTGGGTGATGGAAGGAACAGACCAGAAATTGTTCCTTAGGCTGGATGCTGAAGCGGTGATGAAAGTGCAGCTCAACCAGCATTCTATAGGCCTGTTCCCAGTCACCCTGTGTCACAGAACCATTAAGGATGGAAAGGCCTCTAGGATCATCTGGTCCAACCATCACCAATGTCATCCTGATAGTGTTCAGTGTGTGCAACCACACCTGAGCTGACCTGCAAGTGGGGCTGGAGCTGCACACACAGTTGGGAGCGCCTCCCTGCTCCTCCCTCACTACATGAATCATCCCATCACTCTTAGCAGTTTTGAAGTGACCTGAACTGCTTCCCAGAGGAAACAGTGACAGCAGCAGTCTTGGGAGCAGGAGTGGAAGTAATGAAGCAGTAATTAGCAATTAATGAAATGTGGTGAAACTTACAGTTTTAATAACTGCGCTGGCCTAGAGGTTTGATGCTGAAATGTAGCAGTCTCTTGGAAATATGCAACTCTGGAGCTTAATTATCATAATTTCCTTTAGACACCATCTGCTCTTAGAGCCAACTCATGTGTTTATTCCTTCCCCCAAAGGCAGCTGAGGTTTTAAGGATTCCACTCCTGTGGCTTTTCACAGCAGAGAAGGTTAGGAGAGCAGGGGTGGGTTTGGGCTGAAGTGGACTTTGTGGCTTGTCAGATGGAGTCTGAGAAGGCCAGGTTTTGTTACAATAGGCAGAAAGGTGTTCAGATGTGGAAAGAAAGAACAGGGGAAAATTGTTATCAGAACCTCCTTTGTAGTTTGCAGAGTTCAGTCTTGTTTTCAGTGGGAGTACAGGTGGGCTGTGCTGCCTGCATTCCCTTCTGAACCCACTGAGCAATGCCTGGAAAACTATAACTCCTTACAAATGCTTTGATACAATGAAAGGCTGTGACTGTCAAGTCACCCCTCACCTGAAGTCAGTATTGGGTTGCTAACACCATGCAAACCCCAGTAACCCCATTCTGAGGAGGGGGAACACGGTCCCATAGCAGTGGTGATGCATGCAGCCAAGCTTCTCGTGCCTCACATCTGTTGTTCTGCTGTGCTTTACCAGTCGTATGCTGTTTTATGCCTTGCTGAGCACTGTAAGGGCAGCTCGGGTTAAAGCCACCTTGCTTCTCTTCTCTCTTAAGGGTGAGCCTGGAAATTGGTCGGATCATGACAACAAATAGCCAAACAGCCCCTGCCTTCCCCTGACTCCTCATGTAATCCCTAGTGGCAGGAGTGAAGGGTTGGTCAGTCAGGAGCAGTGGATTAGGCTGAGTGCTTTCTTCCTTGTCTGCTGCGGAGATGCCCAGTGGACTTCATCAGAGCAAAACA